ATTTGTTTTCTCGGATTTTCTTAGTTAAGGTTTGTAATATTTGTGAGTTGTGATTGAATTTTTTATGCTCTTTATAACTTCAAATCGATTTGTATTTATATGTTATGTTATGGTATGGTATGAAATTGAGTTTTATTTTTTTTCTTCTTGTAAAACTAGAATTGGGATTGAAATCGATTTGTTTTATAGAGTTCAGATTGAATATCATTTATTTTTAAAACGTTATGCTCTGCTTGTAATATTGTCTTCTCTTATTGATGTTGTTTACTCTTTTTTATTTTGTAGATGGATTCTTCACCATTGCCAGAGAACATTGACTCTGAGACAGAGAATGAAGTTGAAGAAACCCAAGAAAGGAGATAGCACGCCGTGATAGGACAGGCAAAAGGAAGGTTTGTTCAAGAGGTAGTTTTCGTTCAGATGCAAAGAAGCAGTCAAGCACAAGATCAGATGTCTGGAAACACTACACAAGAATGGAGAACGACCATGACAGGTGCAGATGCAACCATTGTCAGTGTAACTTCGGCTGTGCGTCTTCAAAAGAAACTTCCAACCTTAGGAAGCATCTACTCTCATGTAAGTCTCACCTGGCATGGAAACAGAACGAAGCTTCTAGTTCAACTGTGATTACCAATGATGGAGGTTTGACTAATGCAAAAGTTTTTGAAGCTATGTTTTGAGAGGCTAGTAATGAGCTGGTAGTGCTGGGTCAGTTGCCACTTTCTTTCACTGAAAGTGTTGCTTGGAGACACTTCTGGGATCGAGCTGGTCTCTACAAACCTCATTCCAGAAGGACTGCAACCAGGGACATTGTCAATATGTATGTGAAAAAGAAGGAGGCTCTGAAAAATTGGTTTAAGGTCGGTAAGCAGAGAGTTTCACTCACCTTAGACATTTGGACAGAAAATCCTACAGGAGCGAGCTACATGGTGGTTACTGCTCATTTTGTTGATGATAGTTGAAATCTGAGGAAGCTTATAATCGGGTTTAAGCATGTGTGTGATCACAGAGGCCAAACGATTGCTGATGTTCTTGTGGAGTGTTTGGCTGAATGGGCTATAGAGAAGGTGTTCACCATCACGGTTGACAATGCAACAGCTAACACATCTGCACTTCAAAAGTTTCACAGGGAGTTCATCTTGCTTGGCAGTGAAGCATTGGTGTTGGATGGCAACTACATGCATATGTGGTGTGCAACTCACATTATAAACATGATTGCCAAAGATGGTTTGCAGGATGTTGAGGGGAACATGGAAGCAATATGTAATGTTATGTAGTATGTGCGGTCTTCTACTCAGAGACATAAGTCATTTGAACTGAGAGTTGAGACGGGAAAGATGACTCGAGGAAGTTTACCTTTGGACGTCAAAACAAGGTGGAATTCTACTTATCTCGTGCTTCAGAGAGCTATCAAGTTCAAGGTGGCTTTTGATAAAATGGAAGAAGAAGACATGCTCTACAATGACTTCTTTAATGAAGTTGGATATGGGAACAAAATGATTGGACTGCCTGCTACTTTTGATTGGAATGCAGTGGAGTGGTTAGTGAAGTTTCTTATCATCTTCTACAAATATACTTTAGTTGTCTCAGCTTCCACATCCATATGTTCTCATAAGTGTTATGGTGAGATAGTCACTATAGAGATGAATCTGGTACAGTTGAGCCAGAGTTTAGATAAGGAGTTGAAAGACAAGGCTAATGGCATGAAGGCAAAGTTTGATAAGTATTGGGGTGGCATGAAGAATGTCAACAAGATGCTTATTGTTGCTTCTATCTTCGATCCGACTAAGAAAATGCAGTTTGCGAAGCTGTGTTTTGAGATGATCTACGGCAAAGAAACACCTGAGGCTAAGGCGATGTTTCAGTCAATTTACAGTGTCTTGACTGATATGTTCAAAGAGTACAGTCTTCGCTTAAGGAGATAGTCAACTGTGGACCATCATCACAGTCTACTCAAACATCATCATCAAATGGAGTTGATCAAGATCAAGAGCAAGTGTTAGGAGAACACATTGAAGAAGCAATGGATTTGGTTGATGATCTCGGTTATGAAAGGATGGATTTTTCATATACTACAATGGTTTCTGAAACAGAAGTTGAAGAAGCAAGGGATGAGTTAGAGCTGTATTTGAAGGAGAAGGTAGAGAATCTCAAAAAATTTCTTGGGACCGAGTATGATGTGTTGTCTTGGTGGAGGCTCAACTGTCAGAAGTATCCGATCTTAGCAGAGATGGCTAGAGGTGTACTTGCAATGCAAGTTTCCTCTGTTGCATCTGAGAGTGCTTTCAGCACCAGTGGTCGACTTATTGATCCATTTAGGAGTTGCTTGACACACTACATGATTGAAGTATTGATGTGCATAGAGCAATGAATGAAGGCTGATATCAATCTAAGTGAGAAACGTGTGACCAATTCTCAAATGCTAGCTGAGGTTGAGCTACATGACAAGCTAGAGAGAGGTACATTTTCTTCTTTTTTTTTATATTGCTTCCTATTCTTATGTTACATGTCTTAATTAGTAACACAAACTTGTAATATTTGTAGAGTTTGACACTCTAAACCTGTCCTAGAAGAATGTATACAAGTCGAGGAGATCAAGGGGAAGAAGAAGGTGGTCCGAAAACTGAAGTTATGTTGTTGTTGTTGCTTGCTGAGTTTTATTTTCTTTAAAGTTTGAACTTATGCTCTTTTGCTTTCGGATGTTATGTTTGTTTCTCAGATTCTATGTTTTTTCACATCGGATGCTATGTTTTTTATTTTTCAAAATGGAGTTTAAACCTTGGTTGGTTATATTGAAATGCTTATGTTATGTTTTTTTTTTTCATTTTGGAGTTTAAACTTTGGTTTGGTTATATTAAGTTTCAAGTTCAAACTTTCAAATGCTTATTTTATATTGTTGTATTGTATGGAGTTTAAAATTTGGTTTGGTTAAAGGTCTCTTTATGTCTTTTTCGGATTTTTCGAATATGTTCAGTTCTTTTATAAAATTTTCGGTTCTATTGAATTAAATGGTTTGTTGATACAGTAAGAACCGAACTGATTTTGCTATGTTTTTGGTTACTTTGGATATAACCAAATCTGAACCAGATCCGACATGTACTGAACCGTAACCGAACCAAATTTTAAAAGTATACAACCGGTACCATTTTCTCTAGAACCGAAATAACCAAAATCCGAAAGATCCGAGCCGGATCCGAACCGATAATCTGAATGCCCATGCTTACATTTACTTTTTGGTTTCCTTCCCAATAGGCTTCGTACTATTAGAGGTGGACTTCTCTTTATATATTAGACAGTCTTTGTCTAATTCTCCAATGTGAGACTTTGTTTATTATCTTACATATAATAACTCAGAAAGTCATTAAAATCAAGACTTCACTAAAATTTACCAAAACAAGAAGGAAAAAAAAACGACCTAGCACTATCTCAGCCTTATTACACTTCATATTTTGAAATTTAAAAGTAATTTTTCCAAAATAAAATTTTAAACTTAACTTTTTAAATAATTTTATTTTTATACTATGTGTGTCATAATTAATTTAGGTCTATGAATTTTTTATACATATTTAGCACACATATAAAAAATATTACAACAACATTAATTAATAAAATGTTACACTAAATATAAATATTATATAAGACACAAAATTAAATATTAAAAAACAAAATAAATATTACATTATTCCACAAAATTATTTTTGTAATGTTTCCATATATGATCAATTAGTGCATTTTTAAAACTATTTTTACAATATTTAAATCTTATTATTTTCTTGTTTAATCATATATGTAAAAATTTGATTTATAAAACAAACTTGAAATATTTATAAGATATAAAAATTCGAAGGATTAAAATGATAAAATATTCAATAATCATAATTGTGATGTGCAATTTTAAAAACTAAAATACAATAAAATTTCAAATTTCAAATTTTAAATTTTAAATAATAATATTTTAAATATGAAATTTTACTATCTAGTTTATTAAAATAGAGTCATATTTTATCTATTGATAAAAAGTCATTGGACCATTCATTAGTAATTTTTTATTAAATCTAAAATAATATTTATGTATTAGATCATTTGAATAAAATTACCATCACACATAAGAATATTCTACTATAAAACTATTTATTTTTGAATATTTCTTATTTTACTTTAAGAAAATCTTATAGATACTTTTGATTATTAATTTTAAATAATGCATTAAATTCGTAATTATTAGTAAAATATTACAAATAAATATTATTTAAATTTAAATCAAAAGAATAATTATTTTATAATATATTATTTTAGTTTCTAAATTTAAATATAACAATTAGAAAAAAGTTTAAGAAAAATAAAATACAAAGTAAAAAATTATATTATTGAATTATATGATTTTTTAATTTAAAATTGATGTTTATGTTTTTAAATTAAATGAAATAAATATAACTTATTTAAATAAAAAAAAAAAAAAATTTGTCCCATAAGAAATAGAAAGAAAATCTAATTTGTTTTCATTAGAAAACATCAAAAATTTAACGAACAGTTTAAATAAATAAACTATTATAATTTGATTCTTATATAATTAGATTTATTTTAATTTTAAATAAAAATATTAAAATAAAATAAATGATATATTAAAATATGTTTTAAATATAATTATATATTAATAATATACAAAACATATTAAGTTACATAATATAAAACACCAAATATCATAATAAATTTTATCAATTTGTCATAAAAAATAATATAAATAATTATAAATACAAGCTCATATCCGCGTCGACGCGATTAAAATCTAGTTCAAATTATTAAATTTGAAATTGTTTTCTGGAAAGTAAAAAATTTCGTATTTGAAGTTAGAGTGTTTTTTTTTGGAGATGATCTTAACTAAAAAGTAAAAACTAACCACCAAGAATTTATTTTTAACTAATCGAATGTTATTAACCTAATCCTATAAAAAAAAGGAAAAGAGAGAAAGTGGAAGAAAATTCGAGAGGAACCACGCTCACTCATTATAAACCCCTCTCTTGTTCTCTTCAATTCTCTACTCTCTCCAGATCTTTCTCTACGACTCTAAACTCTCAATCCTACAAGAATCTTCCAGAACCAAATCCCCTCTCGCGATCCAGGTTTGATTCCAAGGATTACTTTCTCTCTAAACCTTTAGCTTCATAGCGGATCTTATAGATCTGAATCTCAATTTTATGTATATAATCTAAGATTACTATCAATGGCTTACTTGTTTGAGATTGAATTTGGTTTCTCTGCTTAGAAAGTTCCCACCTTTTTGGATTATAATCTGTTTAGTGTTGTAAAGTTCTAATCTTGTTTAATTAGGGTTTTGCTGAAGAAGACTAAGGAGCGAGAATGAGTGTTGTTGGGTTTGATTTTGGGAATGAGAACTGTCTTGTTGCTGTGGCCAGACAAAGAGGTATCGATGTTGTTCTCAACGATGAGTCTAACCGGGAGACTCCTGCTATTGTCTGCTTTGGCGAGAAGCAGCGTTTCATTGGCACTGCTGGAGCTGCTTCCACCATGATGAACCCTAAGAACTCTATTTCACAGATCAAACGTTTAGTGGGTCGCCAGTTCAACGATCCGGAGCTGCAGAGAGATGTAAAGTCTCTGCCTTTCGCCGTCACGGAAGGGCCTGATGGGTATCCTTTGATCCATGCTAATTACTTGGGAGAGAAGAGAGCCTTTACTCCCACTCAGGTTATGGGGATGATGCTGTCTAATCTGAAAGGTATCGCTGAGAAGAATCTGAATGCAGCTGTTGTGGATTGTTGTATCGGTATCCCTGTTTACTTTACTGATCTCCAGAGGAGAGCTGTGTTGGATGCTGCAACCATTGCGGGGTTGCATCCCTTGCATTTGATCCACGAGACAACGGCAACGGCTTTGGCGTATGGTATTTACAAGACGGATTTGCCGGAGAGTGAGCCGCTCAATGTGGCGTTCATTGACATTGGGCACGCGAGCATGCAAGTGTGTATTGCAGGGTTCAAAAAGGGACAGCTCAAGGTCTTGTCTCACGGTTTTGATCGCTCTCTGGGAGGAAGGGACTTTGACGAAGTTCTTTTTAATCATTTTGCTGCTAAGTTCAAGGAGGAGTACAAGATCGATGCCACACAGAACGCAAAGGCCTCTCTCAGGCTCCGGGCTGCGTGTGAGAAGCTGAAGAAGGTGCTCAGCGCAAACCCTGTGGCACCATTGAATATTGAGTGTTTGATGGATGAGAAAGACGTTAGGGGTGTCATCAAGAGAGAAGAGTTTGAAGAGATCAGCGTACCTATTTTGGAGCGAGTTAAGAGGCCTCTAGAAAAGGCTCTCTCTGATGCGGGGCTCTCAGTTGAAGATGTACATATGGTTGAGGTTGTTGGCTCTGGCTCTCGTGTCCCTGCTATTATCAAGATTCTCACTGAGTTTTTTGGTAAGGAGCCAAGGCGTACGATGAATGCAAGTGAGTGTGTGTCGAGGGGATGCGCGTTGCAATGTGCTATTCTCAGTCCCACCTTTAAAGTTCGCGACTTCCAGGTAATGGGTCCATATCTATGCATTGTTTATTATTGTACTCCAGGTTTATTTAACATTGTTACTTATTAACTCTTAAGGTTCATGAAAGCTTCCCTTTCTCAATTTCGCTAGCGTGGAAAGGAGCAGCTTCTGATGGTCAGAATGGAGGAGCTGAGAATCAGCAGAGCACCGTTGTTTTTCCCAAAGGAAACCCTATCCCTAGTGTCAAGGCTCTAACGTTTTACCGTTCTGGAACATTCTCTGTAGATGTGCAGTACAATGATGCTACCGAGTTGCAAGTACCTCCAAAAATCAGTACATACACGGTTTGTTTCTTTCTCCAATGTCATGCGTGTGTAGGACTGTAGCGCTCTTGTTTCTTATGGTTGATCTTCTTTTTTTTGCAGATTGGTCCCTTCCAGTCATCAAAAGGCGAGAGGGCAAAGCTTAAATTGAAAGTGAGATTGACTTTGCACGGAATTGTCTCTGTTGAATCGGCAACTGTAAGTCTTTTTTTGTTATATTATAACTATTAGTTGCAATAATCCTATCATATTGGTTCTTGAGGTGAACTATTTAAAGGCTCATTTTGTCTTAGCAACTATTGTTCAGCGATGATCAAATTTATACTAATCTTCTCCCTTCCTCATTGCAGCTATTGGAAGAGGAAGAAGTTGAAGTTCCGGTCTCCAAAGAGCCATCAGAGGAAGCTACTAAGATGGACACTGACAAAGCTTCTGGTGAGTCTGATGTCAACATGCAGGACGCCAAGGAAGCCAGTGATGCTGCTGGTACTGACAATGGTGTTCCTGAATCTGCTGATAAACCGGTGCAAATGGAAACTGATTCAAAGGTTAGTGTCTCTACTTAACTGATGGTGCTTGCTCTATTTGTTCGCTTGTCGAACTTGAATTAATTGATTAATTATATTAATGGGATGTGCAGGTTGAGGCTCCGAAGAAGAAGGTGAAGAAAACGAATGTACCTCTTTCAGAATTGGTCTACGGTGCGTTGCAATCTGTCGACGTCCAAAAGGCTGTGGAGAAAGAATATGAGATGGCTTTGCAAGACAGAGTCATGGAGGAGACCAAGGACAAGAAGAATGCTGTTGAGTCTTATGTTTATGATATGCGAAACAAAGTGAGATTCCTTTCCTTTTTTTTTTGCATTGAGAGAGTATGCTTTTCCAATGGTTGGCCACTGACTTGTTTTGTTTTTTCAGCTGAGTGACAAATACCATGAATACATCATTGAGTCAGAGAGAGAAGCATTCCTAGCGAAGCTGCAGGAGGTTGAGGACTGGTTGTATGAAGATGGAGAAGATGAGACTAAAGGGGTTTATGTTGCAAAGCTGGAGGAGCTCAAGAAGGTAATGCCTAATCTTTTTTTTTTGTGTTAGCAAAAGATACTTTTAGAACATTATTGTTTTAACAGAGATGGGTCTTGTTTTTAGGTTGGTGACCCTGTTGAAATGCGTTACAAGGAGTCGCTGGAAAGAGGGTCTGTCATAGACCAACTTGTTCACTGTGTCAACAGCTATAGAGAGGCAGCTGTCTCGAATGATTCCAAGTTTGACCACATTGAACTCGAAGAGAAGCAAAAGGTAATAATAATAATTCGCAATTGCTAAGGTTTCTCGTGATTTTATTTTGTAGGCGTGAGAAGAGTTCGTTGACATGTGTCTTTTTTTTGTGTGAAGGTCCTGAACGAGTGTGTGGAAGCTGAGGCATGGCTTCGTGAGAAGCAGCAGCAGCAGGAGGCGCTTCCTAAGTATTCAACACCAGCTCTCTTATCAGCTGATGTTAGAAGCAAGGCAGAGGCAGTGGACAAGTAAGAAGACCCTTCTTTGCATTTTGTTTCTCGTATAATGAATGGCATATTTATATAAGGTAGAAGTAAATGAACCATCGTTTTGGTTGTTTGCCAGGTTTTGCAGGCCTATAATGACAAAACCAAAGCCGGCCGTTAAACCAGAGTCACCACCAGCCAAGGCGGCGGATGAGGAGAAGAGTGAGGCACAGCCAGAGGCTTCAGAGGAAGAACCAATGGAGACAGAGAAGCCCAGTCAAGATAGTGCCTAGGAGTGAGACATGGTCTCGACTCTTGTATCGATTTTGTTTTTACTTTTACCTCTTCTTTACGATAACTATTTAGGAAAGTATTGCTCTGCTCCCTTGTGTTTTTCTTTATACAATATTTATTGTGTGTTGCGGATATGTCTACTTGTTGGTCTTTGCATCTTTCTAAACTGTTTCTATTTTTCCAACAGCAAATGAAAATGCAATAGTTATCAACCATTTATTATCTTGTGACAATCTTTTTTGTGCATGCGAACTGCTAAGCAACAGCATGGTTATAATCTTCGAGTTTAAAGGGGTTAATTTTAAGCATTACGAGATAATTATGTGATCTCGTCACTAAAGGGGTCACTAAACCCTTTTTTTTACTGAGTTGGGATAATGTACACATCTTATGCAATAAATAAAACCTGATCAAATGAATTCTGCTTTCTACATCTCCAGTCACAGCACCCGCAATATATATACAACCGCACATATGGCCCTTGACGGTAAGCACAATCAAGATAGTTTGGTCCAGCTGGAGCCTCAGCGGTTGCAGTAGCTGTCCACCGGAACATAGGTACAATTAGTTACGGCAGAGCGTATCAAACACACAACATCGTTAACCACAGTCACCCTCCAATTCCAGACAACATGAAAGCAGGGAATCCCGGCCTTAATTTTTTTGTGTAAAGTATTATTGAGCCAGACTCTAATTTTGAACAACTTTGCAATGATATAATTGAGACTTTCAGATGTAGTAACTCACAAGAACAAGATTGGGTTAAGATCTGTCTGATCCGGGGTTGTCACCGGTGATAGTTTCGGTTATCTTGTTGGCTCCATAGTCTTTGAACTTGTTATAAGCGTAGTTCATTGAAGAGAGGAAGACCGTGGTGATTATATACTTCTTAAACTTCAAGATTGGTCCCATTATTCTCTTCAACAATGAGAAATGCCCCTCTTTGTTTTCTCGTACGTAAACATTGGCTAATATAGAGATTCGTTAAGCCGAGAAATGTGGAAGTCAACAAAAAAGTCATTGGTCCTTGGTTCGTTCTACTCCGAGAATCAATCTTTTGCACATTATATAATTAGTCATTTTGTTCAATGGTGACAAAAAAAATGCTCATGAATAAGTTTGGAAGAGTATATTTTCGTTTATTTAATTTTATTAATTAAAGAGGAAGGAGATCGATTACTATTTCGTTACGTGACATTAAGCCCCTGCACTGAATGATCCGTTTTCATATAATCCCCAAGAACATTCTCATTACTGGATTCATTGCTTCTCACGTTGCCAACAGACTGATCCGTAGCTATCCAGACTACAAAATCGTTGTCATTGGACAAGTTTGACTACTTTCAGATCTCAAGAATCTCAACCCTTCTGATTCCTCTCCAAACTTCAAGCTTGTCAAAGGAGATATCGCTAGTGATCTCTCACCACTGAAAACATTGATACGATCATGCTGGTGCTGAGCTGCTTGTGATGGCTTATGGTAGATCGTATGGATTGCCTGTTATTACTACTCGTGGGAACAATGTTTATGGGCCTAACCAGTTTCCGAGAAAATGACTCCTAAGTTCATGTTGGCTATGATGGCTGGTGCTGGTGGAAGGCCCTTGACGTTTCTGATGAGAAGAAAGACACCATCCAGACATTTACGGTTTAACACCTAACAACAAGACTAGTGGTTCTAATGACAAAGCCTCGTTGAAGTTCTTGCTCTATGGTAAGACAGGGTGGATCGATGGTCTTCTAGGGAAACTATGTGAGAAGCAAGGGATTGTTTATGAGTATGCGATAGGACGTTTAGAGGAAAAAGCTTCTCTCGTTGATGACATTCGTAGCATCAGACCGAGTCATGTGCTTAATGCTACTGGTTAAACTGGGAGACCTAACGTTGACTGGTGTGAATCTCAGACTATTCGTGTCAATGTCGCTGGTACTTTGAACTCTTGCAGATGTTTGTAGAGAGAATGGTCTCTTGATGATGAATTTCGCCACTGCTTTGTTTCATCATTGAGTATGGCGCTGCACACCCTGAGGGCTCGGGTATAGATTTCAAGGAATAAGACAAGCCTAAGTTTCACAGGCTCTTTCTACTCAGAAACCAAAGCCATGATAATATCATATCCCTAACTCATGACACTCTCAAAACCAACAAGTGTCTTGTCTTTGTTCATAATACTTCTGTTTTATTAGTCACTAGGTTGAGGAGCTTTTGAGAGAGTTTGACAATGTGTGTACCTTGAGAGTGCGGATGCCCATCTCATCACACCTAACTAATCCAAGAAACTTTGTGATTGTTGCTCCTCGAAGCAACAATGAAATGGATGGGTCTAAACTAAGCAAGGAGTTCCCAGAGATGCTACACATTAAAGATGCACTGATCAAATACGTATTTGAACCAAATAAGAGAACCTGAGCCCATAATGAACCAAACAAGTCATGATCTTACCTATAACTGTTTCTTCTTTTACAGCTTTTTTAACGAAAATGTCTTTTTATGTTTGCTCGTCATCTTACATCCTTGTAAGTCGTTTAACTAGATTGATTCATCTCATATTTTACTTACTAACACAGTAAGCTTATAAAAACGAAGAGTCATTTACCGGTTGTGACCTTCCACCAAGGCAGGTACAGAGCACTTGAGCTTGTTCCTTGCACTATAAGCTATAATCTGAGAAGAGAAGCAACAATATTATTTACAATAAACCCAAGTATCTGATGTGAATTTTGGTCAAAGTAACAATATTAAGGTTAGAGTATGCTTACGGGAACAGTTGAGGGCGAGAACGAGAGAGCTGGGAGCGTTTAATAGGGGAGAGAATAAGGTTTCGTAGAGTAGATTGGGGATTAGAATTGCCACCAACACCACCAAATACAGGATGGCCTCCTCCTGCTCTTCTGTTTCCAAGTTCAGCTGGAATTGCAGGTGAGTCGTTGGAGATGTCGAATGGACCCGAGTTTGAACTGTTCGGTCTTGCTGGCCATATCTCATCTTTAGGTCCTGGTGTTCCAGGAGAGTAAAACGACCGGTCTGCGCCAAATAAGTTAACTTGACGTGGAGATATTTATCTAACAATAGACTCAGAATCATAAGAAACACTAAGGTCTAGGTACAGAGTATAGTAACCTTTGTGAGTGGGCTCTCTGTTCTCCATCATATTCACTCGTGGGTTTGAGAAAAAGTCAGGTTCCTGGTGTCGTGGATAGAAGTTATTTGCTGGCTGTATGGCTGTACGTTTTACTGACTCATATTCACTTCTTAACTGGTCATACATCTCATCAAGCTTCCTCTTCTGTCTGGTGAATGTAGATTTGTAATTAGAGCTGAGTTTAAGATTAGGAACAGAACCAGGCAAACAAAACGTACGTTAAATTACTGACCTTGATTTCTCGGAGAACTTCTCTTGGAGCTCTTGTTTATCCTTGGTCAAGTTTTCTACCTCTTGCTCCATCATCTGACACCTCTTTCCCATCTTCTGGTATGCTGTATTCATTTGTTCCATTTTCTCACTAAACTTTGCTTGCATTCCCTCACATTTCTGACGACACTGCGCAACAACTCTATTCATCTTGTACTGCATCTCCAAGTCCCTTTGCGAAATGTAAAACATTACACTTCGGTATGCACTCTTCATCACTAGATTCAGTTGAGGAAAACAAGAGGAGGCTCATTGAACCTTGAAATGTTGTTTTACCAACAATTACAAATGCAAAAGACAGAGTCATGTGATTGGAAATAGCTATAGCACTTGAATTTAGATTTCAAACAAAAAGGGACACTGTTCAACCTAAGAAAATAATTGCAACTGATACCAACAGTGTCAAAAAAACTATATTTACAAAAAGGATACGTATTTGTGGAGAAATTCCAGCCATCACCATCTGATAACAAAGGTAAGCAATGAGGAGATGTACGATGAAAATATAAAAAATCTGGAAAGGTAGAAAAGCTATAGCATCCTTGCGTGTACTTCATCCCAAACACTTACATTTATCCATCCTTCGTTTGGATTGGTGTCCACAGCTTTCATTAGACTAAGATGGAAAACAAAGATAAACTGTCAAGTGGGAAGTAAGACGCCTAACACTAAGCTGAAGATTAGAAAGTAGCTTAGGAGAATTTTTACCTCTTGGAGAGTACTTGTTCACAAATGGGACATGCACCATCATTACTGAGAATCTTGTTGGCATCTTCAGTACCTTCACATGATGTTAAGGTCATCGTATCAAACTCACAATTATCGTATTCATCAAGAAGAGGCTAAAGAAAGTAGATTGGATACATAATAAGTGGCCACAAGTGGTGGAAATGGCACGGCCTTCCAATTCCCTCCAGCAGGCGTTGCACCTCATTTTTAATCTCTTATATACAAAGTATCTCAAGCTGCTACGCACCTGCAATTTTACAATTTTATCAAACTAGATGAAGAGTCATGCTCTAGTTAAAACTTTGATTCTCTATAATCCTCTTGGTTTAGAGTTCCGTTGTTCAATATCTCTACACCATGAGTAAGAAGCCAACCTATGGATTAAGAAGTAAACTCGTTGACATCATTAGTCAAAATCGTACTAACAACACAGATTTTGATTCATTCTAACTGCGGAAAATATTGTTTGAATGCAAATAGGAATTGGCACAACAGGTTACTGTAAAATAAGGAACCAAATCTGCAGAAAGTAACCGGAAAGGTAGAAAACTCACGATCACAGTGATACTCGCTACCGATCAAGACGGAAACCCTAGAAAAATCTGTATAGACTCCAGAGATCTGCAAAAACATCGCAAAGTAGAGATTACAGCGCTGATTAAGAGGATGTGAACACAGAGCCCGAAATTAGGGTTTCTACATCACAATGATCAACCTCGAAGAGACAGTTAGATTCCGAGACTACGCTCCGTAACGTTTCAGGGAGAACGAAACACAAATAGGTTAACTAATCTGTGAAATTTGAAAATCTAAGAAGGAGATTGAAGAAGCTTACCTGCGATTTTGAGAGAGAACGCGTCGCAGAGAGTGACGAACAACAACAAATGGCGATTCAGCTAACCGATCTAACGGAATCGGAAGAAAACTACTAAAAATCCACTGAAGAAGAAGCAGCTACGAGTTCGAAACGGACGAATTTCAAAACGAAGATTTGAAAAATTTCCACCCCACACAAGGGCCGAGCCGTTATGTAGACGACGAAAACGACGTCGTTAGCGTTAGTTTCTATAATAAGTTAGGGACCTTACAAAACGATGTCGCTCCGGTTCTCAAGGTTATGTATACGATGATGAGGGTATAATTTAATTCAAACTAGATTCTGACCCGCCCTCTTAAAGAGCGGATATTTTTTTGTTGTAATTTTTTTGAGAAATTTTTTTTTTATATTTATCTTTTATATTTAATAAATTTTATTTTATAATAAATTTAATTTAATTTTTGGTAACTATATTAAGTTGCATAACTATATACTTATGCCATATGCATATCAAAAATTATTTTAAAAACTTATTCCTATTATTTATAACATATTATATTTTTTGTAGTGACATAACATAATTAGTCAAGAATATTTGTACCCAAAAAAACTGATTTAGAATCAATCCGAAAATCAAAATCTCATACTTTATTATACCTGACATATATATATACTTGAAAGATTCATAAAGTTTTATATCCGAAAACCAATATCACATTTAATAAATGTTTTTAATCGAATAACCTATTTAAAATCTGTTAAACTAAATGAGTTTATATAAAACCCGTTAAAACTAAGTGAAACTACTATAAATGTTTTATTTTGTATTTATTATAAAATATAGTATCTATAATGTAATAATAACATTTTATACTCCTTAACCGTTATTATGAAGAATAATTAACATATCATTATAGAAAGATATATCACAATGTAACTATATACATAATTATATAAATAATATGTTATATTAATCAAATAAAAGATTAAACTTCTAAAATAAAAAGGTTGAAATTATTGAATAACACAAAAAAAATTTGGGTGGAATGCTGTTGAAAGTAGTAAACGTAATTTTGGTATAAACTAAAAAAAAAAGAAACAATTGTTATATAAATATATAACTGTTAGCTAATACATATGAGAAAGAAGTGGTCGCCTATAATTTTGGACAGGAGGTTACAAAATATGTATTGACCAATAGAAGGTAAGGTAGTTACGGACATACGATTTATTTAAGTGTGATGCATTTAAAAATATATGGTTAATTGTTGGACGTAACTTTTTATCAACTGGTCATGATCCAGTTTTAATAGAATAGACTAGATTTTGACCCGCGCTTGAAAGCGCGGAATCTTTTTTTGATTAAAAATTTATAAAATTAGGTTTCTTTATTTAAATTATGTTTTGCTATAAAATCAGTAATCCAAAATTTGTGGTGATGATTGCTTTGCATTAGTTTTTAGTTTCAGTTTTTATTTTTAGATTTGGTTTCAGATTTTGGTTTTTGGTTTTTAATTTTTAAGTGTCTAGTTTTGATTTTCAGCTTTTGGTTTGGGTTTTTAGCTTTTAGAACCGCTGAGTTAGTTTGAACTCATAATTACCAACAAACAAATCCCAAAGAATAGAATATCTAATTTAAAACTGAAAAGCTGACAATTTTTATTTTAAAAAATTGCAATAGTTTATTTTGTAAATAAACAAAACAAAAGCAAAAATATAACATGCGTTTTCAGCTTTTGGGTTTGGATTTTAATTTTTAGATTTGGTTTTTAGTTTTGCTTTACATTTATTTTTTAAAAAATTAGTAAATTATTTACGAAAAATAAAAAAATAGACTATTATAAAAGTTACCATTGAAATTTTATCAAGACATAGTGATTGTTATTTAAAATAAAAAAATATTAACATGTCTTAAAGTACACGATTTAAATAAGTGATTAATAATATATAATTTTGCTTTCTTAAAATATTAAATACTTCTGGGTTTTAAAATAGTAATTGATTTTTTGATCCATTAAGGTAGAAAATTTATTCAATGTTTTTGGAGTTTTTCTTTAATACTAAGCCCAAAACCCAAACTATATAATTTGTCATAAAAACAAAAGTAAGCCCAAAACTCTATTGCATAAATAACTGCCGGTTTAAATTAAGTAATGCGGTTCAATCAACTATATGACTTGTATTATTTGTAACACTCTAGAAATGATCCAAATTTAAATGACAACTTATATCAGTAGATAAAAAGAATGATTTTATTTTAATAGAGTAGATGATGTAAGCTTTTATTTCATGATGAATATGAGTCTATGTATATGTATATGATGACTACTAACACAGTATAATTTAATTCAAATGATGTAAGCTTTTATTTCATGATGACTATAACCACTGAAAACAAGAAGCCTCAAGGTGCCAAAACCAATAAAGAGAGAGCAAAACGCAAGAAGAAGAAAAGAATCTCTCTTTCACTCACTCTCTACAAATACACAAACTCAAAAATTTCCACATCTTTAAGCATTGCGTTGTTGAGTCCAGCTCAGAGGAATGCGATCAGAAGTGATGGGAGTAGCAGCAGGAGGAAGGCTTTTGACGTTGATGTTAAGAGGATATAACCGATATTCAATGTCCAATTCTCTGCAGGCTCTACCAATCTCCTCGAGTAATTGACCTCTCCTCACAAACCTCTCTCCCATGTCTTGATGATTCATCTTATGTGTGGGCCACATTGCAATCTTCACACTGTTTAGTCCACACATATCTCTAAACACCATCATGGGTGATGGATGCCAATGATCCTTCTTGTTATCTACATAGCTGCATAAAACAAAAACCATAGAACAAGATTTGTATTAGGCAATGTTATAAAACCCGGTTTTAGGGAGTGTTTAGGCATCCGCATAGACAACAAATCAGTCATAAATGGAACGACTTTTTTAAAACGAATTTTGTAAAGATCAATTTAGGCAGAGTGCCTAGTCGTGCACCTAGGCTTTGTTCCACTACAAACCCGCTAGTTACCGTCTAGGGATTTCTTGAACATTGGTATTAAATATTATTCAAAATCTTAAGTTTAGGGTTTATTTCTAACCTGAGTATTCTCTGTTTCAAGGCTGTTATCTTTTCAGGTGGAGTTGCTATATGGACAAAGAACTCAATAGCATCTTGCATATCAGGACTGCGGTAATAGTTTGCGATAGGTTTTGTGCCGAGAAGACTGTTCGGATATACGATCTTCTGGTTATCATATCGAAGAAAGACAGTAGTCAAAATGTTCATCTCTTCCACAATCATCTAACCATACAAAAAGTAGGATTAGTTAGCTCTTTATGTCAGTATTTCACGTTACGAAAATGCAGGAAGAGAGTTTCAAAGAAACAAACCTGGACACCGTCTATTTCACACCTGTCACCGACATCAAATGGATGCATGACAAAGACGAAGATGACAGCTTCAAAGATGGTTTTGCATGAGTTTCCAAACACAAAGACTACAAGAAGAAGCTGAGAGCTTATGACAAGCAAGAACTTTGTTGTAGCAATTCCGAGAATGAGAAGCCATATGATTACGATCACAATGCTGACCAACACATTGATGATTCTGTGAAGCCTGTTCACTGCTGTTTTTGTATCGTTTAGAGTTAATGCTAGTGCTCTTCGTTCTCTAAAGGCATTAACCTATAAAAAAAACCATGAGAATTTAGCATAATTGTGTTACAATACATTTATAACCAATTGTAAACTTCAAAAATTAATTTTTACTAGGTGATTTCCCGTGCTCATGCACGGATATAAATATTTTTAAAGTAAATATATAATAATAATTTACTACTATTTAGTTTTAATTTTAAATTAATTTATAACTTGTATACATCATTTATATTAATAGTATTATATTACTTTACTTATACTGTAATTTTATATATGTTATATCTAGTCGGTTTTGTTGTTTTTACGGTNTTTTAAATTAATTTATAACTTGTATACATCATTTATATTAATAGTATTATATTACTTTACTTATACTGTAATTTTATATATGTTATATCTAGTCGGTTTTGTTGTTTTTACGGTTGGTTTAGTTATCATTTGGATAAATTGGATTGCGTCTCTGAATTCAACTTTAATATTTTTAAAATATATTAATTTTTAATTAGTTTTTTATTTGCATATGGTGGGTGTTGTCTTAGATATGTAAATATATTTTAGGAAAATTATGTATAACTTAAGATATATTGTGCTTAGAATGAATTAAAAATTA